ATATATGTATGTTATATATATAATGTAATAATAATAAAATTTTTTAACATAAACATATATAATATACATATAATATATTTATATAATAATTCATAAAATTATGATATAAGCATAATTTTAACCCCAAGCTTGGCTTTTACAATAATGTAATATTAATTTTCCATCTGCACCATAACAATCGTATAAATTTTTCAATGCTTGATCTGGTGCAGGAGCAAATGTTTGATTTACATATAGAAACTAATAAAAAGAGAAAATATATTTATATATTTATATACATATCTACACATATATAAGATGAATATAATTTTTATTTTACACTTACCAATTTTTCATTTGAATCTAATTTAAGATATCTTCTAATAAAATCAGAAATACGACCAATACAATAATCTTGGCTGACAGACCACTTTTTTTGTTTCATTATTGGTGCGTTGCCAGTTGCTTTTAACAAAATATCAACTGAAAAATTAAATACTAATAAAATAATTGTTTTATATTATGTCTTATTAATTTTCAATTTATTATTATGTCTTTAGTAAACAAGAAATCTTTTACTTTTTGCTTTGTCCTTAGAATTAATTTGAACTCCATTTCGAACTAACGGTGTTTCTGAATGAATTGTTTCAAAACTGGCAGATGCATCTTCGTTTGTTAAATTTTCTCCCATTTTTTCAGATTTACCAATAATTTCAGCTATAACATATTCATTTCCTTCTTTCTCCGTCATCACGTATGTTAAATTTCAAATGTCCGTCAAAAAAGAAAAATAGACGAAACAAATTCTTATTATTTGATTCTTTTGATTTCATATACATAAATATTATTAAAAAAGATTTAATAAAATTAAATTTATTAATACATAAAAATTACATAAAAATCATAAACTGAAATTTAATCAATGTAGAATTATGTAGAATTGAAATAAAACATTATCGAAAAATACAAAAACATAAAATTATTTTTACATTATGCAAAACATATTAATTTTATTTTTAATTCACGAAATAAATTATCACAAATGAATTTTTTATGCATAAATCAGGATTATGAGTGTTCCAACAATATTTAAATTTTAACCCTCAGTAACGACAGCAATATCTTTCATATACAATAAAATACAATAAAATAAAAAACACAGAAAATAATAATCGATTATGATTTTTTTATCATTAATAATTTTTTTTAATTTTAATAAACTATTTTAATTAAACTATCTGAATATTTATAATTGAATTTTTTTTTATATTTATAATTAGATAAGTACTTAAGAAAATTCTAGGAAAACTCAAATTTTATAAGAGAATTTTAATTACAATTACATTAATAGTAAAATAAGAAATATTGAGCAAATTTTAAATTAAGATAATTTTTCGTTAAGGAATATATTAAAAAAAAAGAAAAAACTTTTAAAACATATTTTATTTGGATCAATTGCAATGATTACGATGAAAAAAAATAACCAACTATAATAACTATAAAAATAACTAGCAACTTTCAAAAAAAAGTAACTGAAGAGTAACTTGAAAACTAACTAATCAGAACAATTAAAAAAAGAATCTATTTCTCAGATGAGGTTAAGCTATTTTATCTAATTTTAAAAAGATTTTGTGTTGAAATTTTATTTTGTTTGTAAAAATACCTGAATAGCTATACAATACTTGAGTAGAGGAAAACATAAAAATAATAATGAAGAATATACAGGAAAAGTTTTGCAGAAAAGAAAGCGAACCAATATTCCGATATATTTTTTTAACTGCACTGATATACATAGAAAGTAAGATTGATTATATTGTTCATTAAATTTTTACAAAAATGAAACAATCTGAAATAGAAAAAGTTTAAAAAGTAAGTTACGAATAAAATAAGATTTTCAATAACTATCAATCAAACTTCTATTATAGTACTTTAGCAATATATTTAAAAAAAAATTATAATAAAAGTGGACAATTTTTTTAGACTTTTGAAGAGAGAAAATTTACTCTCGCTTGGCTATTTTATATATTATTTATCAATGCAAATAATATTTTTTGCAAAAACATTTTTTTTCCAAGATAGGAATCTTAAATTAAATTAAAAAAAAACTCAATCCAAAAAACATCAAAGAAATTTGTTTTAATTGATAATTTTTTTATAAAATATAACTATAAATATAAATATAAACACTTTCAAAAAAATATATATTTCTTTTTTTTGAATTTTTTTATTATTTTTTATACTATAAATGCTTTCTTATTTAACTGTAATTAATTAGTCAAAATTCAAAGAAATCCAAATAATATTTTATAATAAATATTTTAATTTAAATGTCTTATAATTATTATTATTATATAATTATTATTAATATAAAACAATAATTTTTAAAAATAAAACAAATTGAAAATTTACTAAGTATTAATTATAATTATAAATATTAATTAATTATCATTATTGATTTTTTATTTTGTGATAAATAAAACTTAATGTATTTATTTATTATTTTTAATTAAATTCTCTATCACTAATATTAATAATTTAATATAATAATAATTTTTCTTATATTGTACAGTTTAGTTACAAGTTGTTATAATTTGGCAACACTGTTTAAACTCGATATCCATAGTTTTAGTATTTGATTCATATCTTGATAATTTGATAATTTATCAAATAAAAATGATAAAAAAATGTGAAAATATCAATTTTTGTAATATTGATTTTTTTTTAATTTAAAAATAAGAAATTTTTAGAAATTTCAATTCAATTTTTATAAAAAATTTTTTCTTAGAAAGTTTTATTTAATCGTATTTAATAATATTAATTGTAATAATTATAATAAATAATTGAATTAATATTAATCTAAACGAATAGTCATTTTTTTATATAATTATTAATATTAAATCTATTTTTAAAAACTTTCTAAAATCTATTTTTAAAAATTTTACTGATATGAACACAATAATAAATATTTTTAAATATAATATATATATAAATTTGGAAATAAAGATTTTATTTTTTGTTAAATTTTAAGAATGCAAAATTTCTAAATAAAAAACAAAAAAAATTATATATTTTTATAATAAAAGAAAAATACAATGAAATTATATATTATTAAAATAATTGAAATTTATAAGAAAAATATCGATCCAAATATTCATAATAAAAACATTAATATTTATCACTAATATATTTTATTCGTTCGCTATTTATTATTTTTATTATTTCTATTATTGAAATTTATTAATTTCGGATTCTCACATTTTTCTGAGATTTTATAAAGTATTTTATAAAATTTGTTTTGTTATAGTATTATTATGGTAAATTATATTAAAATACATTTAGTACGATAGTATAAGAAATATAACATTTTTCATTTTGCATTTTATTTAAACTATATTTATATTGTATAATATAATATAGTAATTTAATAATAATATTAATAATATAATAATACTATTAGTATACAGATATAAATATAATATTTTTATTTTTTTATTAATTATTAAAATTGTATACATTAATACATTACAGTATTATTATAGTTGCAAAGGAAATTATGAGCATTATAAAATTAACAATTATGTTTTTATTTTTATATTTTCAAAAAATGAAATTCCTTATAAAAATTCACCTTTTATAAAATTTTCTATTTTTTAGTTTACACTTCATTGAAAATTATAGAAAAAAGCAATATTATTTCTATAATTTTTTTCAATTTTCCAATTTATTTTTTACAGTTTTTCTCAATTTACCAATTTACCAATTTATTTTTTATTATTTTTTCTTATTTATTGTCAAAAAGGAAAGATTTTGAAAAAACGGAATACAAATTATTCAAAATTATGAATATATTGGCTTTTCATTTCTGTAAATAATATTTATAAATCATTAATTATAAATTAATAAAATTAAAGATAAATATGTATTTATTTTAATTAATTGTTTTAGTTATTAAAAAAAATTAATAATTTTCATCTATACAGATACAATAAAATAAAGTAACAAAATAAAAGACATAGTAAATAATAATGATTTATTTTTTAATTTTAATTTTATATGCTAAATATCATAAAAAAAATTTTATTAAAATTATCATATATTAATATTTAATTTAAATAATTAAAAGTATTTGTAATTTAAGAATATATATATATGATAATTATGATAATATAGTAATTACATATTTTATTTAAATTATTTGTTTTCTTAAACATTTCATTTTTTTCACATAAATGATTATATGAAAAATATAAACAATAATCAATTAGAAATATATAAAAAAAATTTATATAAAATATTTAAATATTTAATTTATATAAAATATTTTTATTATGGATTTCTTTTTTAAATTTTATTTTATAAAAGTAAAATAATATGATCACTGACAAATTACACATTAAAACTCGAATAGTACTATGATAATATTCCTAATTAAGATGTGAAAACTTATTATATTTTTTTTTAAATATTTCTGTAATTTATTGTAATATTTCTGCTTTTATGTATTAAATTATAGTATTGTCTTTTAATATGATTTAATATTATTTATAATTGATTGCAAAGATCATCTTAGTAATTTTTTTTTAATTGTCTTTATTATTCATTTTCATTTTTAATAACTTATTGTATACTGTGTACTTAATTATTCATTTTAAAAATTACAATTTTATTTATAAAATAATTTAAATTTATACTAATATTTGTTTAAATATAAATATTTTAAATATAAATGCTATAAGCACTATAACCTTAAACTTATCCGATTTATATATATTTTTTTATAATATATAATATTTATATATTGTTTCTATTTATTATAATTATAAATAATATAATATATATAATATTTATATATTATTTACATATCAAGAATTTATATTGACTTCCAATTCCAATAGTAAAAGCAATGTTGCCAAATTTAACATTATAACTTATATGTATTTAATGTAGACTGTGGTTAACTTTAACATTTATTGGTACTATTTTACAAATGGTGGATGACAATCAGTTTTAAGTCATGTGGAATGAGAAAAATTTTAGATTTACGTGAATTTTGTATAAAAAATCATATGTGAAGAAAATATTTCTTAAAAAAAAATATTTATATTTTCCTATTATATTTGATCAAATAAAACACAATTCTTTTGATAAGAAAAAATTACCAGAATTGTTTCATTGAAAGAAATTTGCTTTATAATTTGTAGATATTTCATTTAAGGTAATTATTGATATTTTTAAATTTATAATTTATTTATATGTTAAATATAATATGTTAAATATGTTAAATATCTAATGTTAAATATTTTAATCGATCATTCTTCAATTAATAAAGGACAAGATTATTGGATTCTAATAAAATTTTAAAAATGGAGGTGGATTATAGTAGCAATTGTGATGTTAAAATTCCAGAATGTAAAAAATTAGCAAATGAAGGAAAGTTACATGATGCTTTGGACCAATTATTAGCATTAGAAAAATTAGCACGAACAGTTAAGTTTTTATTATTAATTAATTTTATATTTAATTTTATACTTGTTTGCAATTAAAATATGCAAATAATAATAACAATTTCTGATATTTTCTAGAGTGCAGATGTGTCATCTACATCACGAATTCTTGTTGCTATTGTTCAAATTTGTTTAGAAGCAAAGAATTGGGCAGTATTAAATGAACACATAGTATTGTTGTCCAAAAGACGTTCTCAATTAAAACGAGCTGTTACAGCAATGGTTCAGGAATGTTGTACTTATGTAGATAAAATGCCTGATAAAGAACCAAAATTAAATTGATAGAAACATTACGTACTGTAACAGAAGGAAAGGTAATCTAAATTTTGTAATTATTTCAAATTAAATTTTTAAATGTTTAAAAAAATCAATTGTTTTAAAAATATAAATAATAAAAAATAATTCTTGTCAAAGATATATGTAGAAGTTGAAAGAGCAAGACTTACTCATCGTTTGGCAAAAATCAAAGAAGAAGATGGAGATATTTCAGGTGCAGCAGCTGTTATGCTTGAATTACAAGTATGAAATTTTTAGAAAGAATAATATAATAGTTAAAAATTATGTATAATAAAATTATATCTATTTTAGGTTGAAACATATGGTAGTATGTCACGTTTAGAAAAAGCATCTCTTATTCTAGAGCAAATGCGATTATGTTTAGCAAAAAAAGATTTTATGCGCACTCAAATAATAGCTAAGAAAATTAATGTTAAATTTTTTAATGATGAAAATGATGAAGAAACACAATCTCTTAAATTGAAATATTATGAGTAAGCAAATTACATAATAACTAATAAATTGAATAAATAAATATAAAACTTTAAAATTTATTGCAACAAAATTTTTTTATTTCAGCCTAATGATGGAATTGGCTCGTCATGAAGGTTGGCATTTAGAATTATGTAGACATAATCGAGCAGTATTGGAAACTCCAACAGTTAGAGATGATCCTGAAAAAAGACATGCTGCACTTTCACGAGCTGTTCTGTATCTTGTACTTGCACCACATGAACCAGAACAAGCTGATTTGACCCATAGGTTGCTTTCTGATAAACTTCTTGATGAGATACCAACATACAAGTATTATTTATTCGTTTTTAACAAAAAAAATTTAATTTATGAATCTCTTATTTTTTATATTAATAATAAATTTTTATTTTTTATGCTTAGGGAATTATTACGACTTTTTGTAAATCCAGAACTAATAAAATGGTCAGGACTTTGCGAAATTTACGAAAGAGATCTTAAAGCTACAGAAGTTTTTAGCCTATGGACTGAAGAAGGACGTAAGCGCTGGACCGATCTTCGAAATCGTGTTGTTGAACATGTGAGTTTGAAAACTAAAAATTTCACTTCATTTTAACAAAATTATATTGAATATTTATTTCACTATATAGAATATCAGAATTATGGCAAAATATTACACAAAAATTACATTGACTCGCATGGCTGAATTATTGGATTTACCAGTTGAAGAAACTGAAGCATGTCTGTGCAGTTTAGTAGAAACTGGTGTGATAAATGCCCGTACGGATCGTCCAGCCGGTGTGGTTCGTTTTACAGGAACCCAAGAGCCGGCTGCTCTTTTGGACGCATGGGCTGCATCATTATCAAAACTAATGAGTCTTGTCAATCATACAACTCATCTTATTCATCAAGAAGAAATGTTGGCTGTAGCTCAATCCTGAAAGATAAATTTTCACTTTTTCTTTTTCCCTATTTGTTTTCTTCTTTCTTTCTTCTTTTTGTATCAAAACTTGTTTAATTTTCTTCTTTATATAATCCTTTTACAAAAGTTATTTCCATAAAACGACTGCACATAAATAATTGTACACTTTCTATAAAACTTTAAAAAACTTTAAAAAAGCATTTAGAGTTGCTTTTGGTCTGTTTTTAACACGTGTACTATATCTTAAAAATAAACATTATGCGAAACATAAAACGTCGTTTTTTATTCGTTTTAATATTAAGTAATACATTTTAAGTGAACAATCACACTTTTTACAAATTTTGCTAATAATAAATGTAATATCTTTTTTATATTCTTGTTTTCATAATTTATCATAATGTTTAATACGCAAAATGCGTAAGTTTTTCTATTTTGTAAATGTTAAATTTGAATAAATTATTTATAGAATAAAAACTTACATACTATAATGATAATTTATTATTGTCTAATTGTTAAAAATTTCAATGATAATTACGTTATTAAATTTTACTTATTAATATGAATTGAGACAACATATTTTAATAAAGAATTAATAAATAAGATTTATCATATTATTTTAACTTCTTTTTCTTTATAAAATTCTATAAAAGATAAAAGATATAACAAAAATTTTTATATGAATTTTTCGTATTATATTCATAAAAATTAGTATGTTTAAAAAAAACTTATACTAGTTATAATGTAAATTTTTTGCGTATGACTTCACTTTGTAATTTTCTTCACTTTGTGAGAAATTCTTTCATTAATTGAATGATTGACACTATCATATAAATTTTTTTCTATTCAAACATTTTTTATAAAAAAAATATGCGTAATCGTTGCATATGTTTATCATTTCATTGATATTAATATTCTAATATAAATGCATATATTGAATACATCCTTTTTTCCTCTTTATCTATTAATGTATAAGATACGCGATAATAACATTTTTATAATAGAAAAAAAGAATGTTCAATCTAACAGACAGACATAAAAAAGATGAACAATCGTTCATAATTTCATAAAATAATTTACTGCTTTTATTGTGATCAATCTTCCGATCGAAAAAAAATACTGTTTCAAGGTTTACACCTGACGTTTTGATCAATAGCGATGCTATCACAAGAAACAGTTGCACTATTTGATTTGGTATCTAAAGTGTGGAAGAAAAAAAATGCTATAATGTTAATAATAAAATATTACAGTAGAATGAAAAACTCTTACTGCTTCCAATAGTCTTGCGTATAAGCGCTACCGCTTCTGCATAAGAAGGCGGAGGTAATTCGTTACAGCTTTCCTGAGCAATTGCTTCATAAGAAGGTGGACCTGGAGTTTGTATATCAATACGTTCAATACCACGAGTACCGCTTAATTCCTGCAAATGCTGTATTTAACGATTAAATTATCCCGATTATTAATAAATTTATTTATTTTGATATTAATTGATAACTAAATACATTTAATATTATATATACATAAATACATATTTCATACATTAAATATTTAACAGATACTTATTATTCTATATTAAAACATATTGATATTTGAAATTATCAACATGTAAATATATGTATAGATTTCACTGATATGCAACAATTTTTATTAATTTTATAATCAATAATATCAATCTCATAAAAAAAATTACAAATATTTACGAAATTGAGTATAAAATTAAAACTAACACATTATTATTAGTAGAATATTTCCAGATATTAAATAAATCATATAAAATAATTACTTACTCTGAACAATTGTCGTTGATGAAAGATCATCTGTATAACGGATTTTCGTCGAAGATAAAGCATACATTTGACAGCCACCATTAGTCCAGAACAAATAAATATTGGACCAATAAGCCACATGTGACCAAGTTTAAAAAATATGTGTTCACCTACGATATCGTCCAAAGAAAAAATAGTAATAGCGGTCCCAATCATGAATAGAATGACGCTCAAGGCAAGATAGCTATAGCTAGTGCAGTCACATTTGCCAAAAGTGTTTGTTGATTCTTCATATCGTTCCTCGATACGATGTACTCTATTTGATAAGAATGAACTTTCGAAAACCGTAGCCATGTTTCATTAATAATAACCAAACACAAGATTGAATTGGATCAGTTGGGGACAAACTAGAACGAACTAACCTACCTATGGTTAAAACCCTTAAAACACTTAAAACCCTTGCGTTTTATACTTCAATATTACTTTCTCTTTTTAAATTTTCTCTCAAATTATATTTGACGAAACATTATATTTGACAAATTTTAATGTTATGTAAAAAAGAAAATATGTTTAATTCAGATTAGTATAATAACATTTCTTATCTAATATCTATTATTACGAACATGTATTCAGTAAATAAAGTAATAAATATGTATAGATTTCTAATTAAACGAACATTAATTACAAATCAAATCCTAAAACAAAAAACAAATGATGAATTAGCAGATACTGTTAAAAGTTACACAAAGACCAAATCAAAAAAGCAAGGCAAATATTCCGAAACTGTTTTACTTCCACAAACTCAATTTCGTGTACATTTAAATGGTAAAATGCGAATACAGGAAGATAAATATTTAACTGAAGTAGGTTATTTTATAATATTATATTATTTGTTTATTTATATTTTATAATATTTTTATTTATATATTTGTTTTCTTATAGAAGTGTGGTTTTTCTGACTTGTATGATTGGCAAAAGAAAAATCTTTCAGGACCAGATTTTATTTTACATGATGGACCTCCTTATGCAAATGGAATTCCCCATATGGGACATGCTATTAATAAGGTTTTGTATTTTATAATGATTTTTTTATTAAAATATACATATAACATACAATATTATATTATTTTTATGAATTCTTTAGATTCTTAAGGATATAACATTAAGATATAAAATTATAAATCAAAATCGAGTTCATTATGTACCAGGTTGGGATTGTCATGGTTTACCAATTGAGCTAAAAGCTGTACGTAACAATGCTCAAAATTCCTTAGAAATTAGGAAGAAAGGTATAATTAATACATTCCTAATTAATAAATCTTTTTTGTTATTGCTAGCTAAATATTTATAGTATATAAATTATATATTATAGTATATAAAGTATATTTTATAGTATATAAAGTATATTTTATTATTTCATTTTATCTGGAAATATATAAATATTTTGAAAACTATGAATGAATTTACATCCTGTTAAAGTATAATTATTTTTTTAAATGAGAATTATATTTTTTTATTCCATGTTTTTAGCTGACATCAAAATAATTTTAAAATTATTTTCATTTTTTGCATTGAAATATAATATATATAATTTCAATTGATATATATCTCTAGCATTATTTAATGTATATCATGGACAGATTACTTAATCAAAAATTGCTTTAAAGAAGTGATCTTAAAAAGGACTAGTAAAAAGTTATATATTTTTTCATATATATAGAAAGAAAAAACAATTCATTTATAGTTTTAGGAAGATCATTTAATATATATGAACATGAATAATACTGATGCTATATCAAGTTTGAGATTTAATATCTCAATTTATAAAAAATTTATATATATATATATATAATATATATGTTAATAAAATATGAAATAGTTGGAAAATGTTTTGATATCAATTATAAAAATATAAAAAAATGTAATTTAAAAATATAACTATAATTTTCACTATTTTAATGATCATATATATATGTAAAATCATTAATAAGATGAAGTAGAATAAATGAAATATTCCTCTTGAAATTTTTTTATTATTTATAGTTTTTAAGATATTTACATATTTTCAGATATAGATATTTAATATTTAATTTTATATATTTTATATTTTATATATTTAATTTTTCATTTTTTCTCTTTTTATAAATTTAGCCCGTAAATATGCTGAACAAGCTATTATTAAACAGAAAGAAGCTTTCCAATCATGGGGTGTGACAGCTGACTGGAATGAATCTGGATATTATTTTACCAGTCAGTCATCATATATAAAAAATCAACTTCGTCAATTCATAAAATTATATAAGAAAGGTATCATATTTAGGGATTTTATGCCAGTCTATTGGTCTCCATCTTCAAGGTTAAATGTCCAAAATTAAATAATTTAATCTATTTTTTTAATAAAATTTTTCTTATATTTATATATATTACAGAACAGCATTAGCTGAATCTGAATTAGAATATAATCAGCAACATCAAAGTAAAGCTGTGATTATTCGTCTACATATTGATAATATTCCAGTAAATTTAAATTCATTTAAAAATCATGCAATATATGCATTAATATGGACTACTACACCATGGAGTTTAGTAGCTAATCAAGCTATAACTTTTTCTGCAAATGCTACATATTGTCTTGTTGAAAATAATTCACGAGATTTATATATTATTGCACAAGATTTATTAAGTACTGTTGAATTAAAAGTTGGTTCATTGAGAACATTAGTATGTTTTAAAGGTAAATTTTATTTTTAATCAAATTTAAATATTTTTTAATATATTTGTGATTTTTTTTTATTTTGAATTACAGTAATAATAATATAGATAAATTTTATTAGGGAGAGAATTAGAAGGCAGCACATATTTCCATCCTTTCACAAAGCATAAATGCCCTTTCTTAGCTGCAAATCATGTTACAACAAATCTAGGAACAGGATTGGTTCATACTGCTCCTGCACATGGTCCAGAAGATTTTCTAGTCGCATTAGAAAATAAAATTCATATTGTAAGTTATTAAATTATATATTGTAATTCATTTTAAAATAATAAAAATAATATCAAATAATATCACTATTAGATAATATTAGTATAGAATAACATTAATATCTCATGATAACTAAATATTCTATAGTTATCTATAGTTGACACTGAAGGTCGATATACTAAAGAAGCTGGTTCACAATTTTGTGGACTGCAAGTATTAACAGAAGGAGTTGATAAAGTGATAGATCTTTTGAGTCAAGATATTTTGCATGTAGAAACGTTAACACATAGTTATCCATATGATTGGCGAACAAAAAAACCAGTTCTTATTCGTGCGAGTAATCAATGGTTCATTGATATAAATTCTATCAAGGAAAAAATTATTGTAAGTCATTTGGTAATATTACATCACTTATAAATTGTGATAGAAATTTATAGTGATAAAAATATATTAATTTTTCTTTTATTTATTTTATTAATTTTATAAGGACAGTATCGCAGATATAGATATATATCCTAAATGTAATCGTACATCTTTTATGAATGCTTTACTTGCTGGAATAAAAAATCGACCATATTGGTGTATTTCGCGACAACGTTTTTGGGGGACACCTATACCTGTAGTGTATAGTAAAACAACTGGTAAAGCATTTACAAATGAGTAAGTTTATGTATATGTTATTATTTACTATAAATTCTTTATTATAAATATACTATTATATTATATAATCTAGTTTTGTATATATATTCTTCTTTATATTATTTTTTATGTTTCAGAGAAATAGTTGAACGATTATGCAATTCTATAGACAAATACGGTCCTGATTGTTGGTGGGAATATTCAATAAAAGATTTAATAGGATTAGATATAATTGAAAAATTGAATATCGCAACAGATGATGTAGAAAAAGGAAATGTAAATTCTATTTATCAAATATTTATTTAAGATATTTAAGACATAAGAGAAACGAAAATTAAAATTGAATATATCATCTATTGATATAAATATTTTTTAGGATATTATGGATATTTGGTTTGATAGTGGAATTTCATGGTCAATGATTATACCAAATGGAAAAGCAAATCTTTATTTAGAAGGTTATGATCAATTTAGTGGTTGGTTTCAATCATCCTTAATAACATCTATAGCTTTACAGGAATATCCATCTTATAGGTAAATAAAATATAAAGTATTTTAAAAATAATATATATTATTATAAAGCATAATAGAAGGTATCCCAAAAATGTATAAATATTGAACAATAGATTCTTAAGATAATTTCAATTAATAGATTTTTAAGGTAATTTCAAGCAACATTTTATTTTGCTTTCATTTTTTACTAACAAAAAACATTAATTAATCATAGAATGCATAGACTTTTTGAGTTATAACTATAATGTTAAGTATGTGTCATTGTTAAACTTGAACAAATAAGTCCAAGCAATATAAAATAAAAATTTTTTAATTAATTTTTTTATCAAATAAAAAACTTTAAATTTAATTTAAAATTCTTGAAAAATTTTTTTGCTCTGTTTAATTCTTTTATATTTAACATAATTTGGTATAATTCAAATATAATTTCTTTTATATATTTGAATTATATCAAATTATATTTTCATTGAATAATAAAATTCTTATTGAATAATTTAATATAAAAAAATAAATAATAATTGAATATGAATTGAATATAATTGATAATTCTATTAAAATTATAATTTTTATTAAAAATTAAAATCATAATTAATATTTGTTTTAATACTATACTCTTTCTATCAGTCAATGTATATTTATATACTTTTTAAAAGGATATTAAAGATTTTAAGTCAAAAATAAATTAGTTTAGAAATTATAAGTTTTGTTCTAAATGCTCATAAATTTTTTAAACATTATATCTACTATATAATAGGTTTTTCCATAAAAATGTAGCAATTTATGGATTTATTTTCTCTATAGGTCAATTCTCTTTTTAAAAAATAACATATTGAGAATTTAATGGAATGGATCCAAAATATTAAAAACTCTTGCATAAAAGAAAAAAATTTTTTAGAATTTATATGATAAAAATTTTCCGAGTTCCAAAATTAGTTTTAAAAGTTCAAAATCAGAATTTAATGATTTAGAAGTGTTTAGAAGCGTTATACATTATTAAAATAAGTATATAATGTAGATGAAAAATTAAAAAAACTAAATTCAATTCTTTTATTGAATTGTAAGTGATCAATGTTGACTTAGAATTGGTAATCAGCATTGGTCATAATGTAGTAAAGGATAAATATGTGATTCGATGTATATTGTTTTCGTGTTATTTTTCGATAATTTTTTATTTGTTATTAAATTTACAATCTTAAGAATTAATTCAATACCAATAGGAAAATATAATATTAAAACATCGATGAAATAAATATCCAAATCCAAAGAAAAATATCCAAAAGGAAATATTTTAAAGCTTAAATTTAATTTTCAGTGATTGATTTTATTTATCTAATTAATTATTTTTTAATTTAATGCTATAATAATGTTTATTTTTTTTTATTTCAAATTGTATTATTTATCATTCATTTATTAAAA